TGTTGGGCTACCTGAGCTCCACTTGCTGATGGCTGTGTGACAGGGCAAGGTGCTGGCTATGCACAAAGAAAGTGTAAGGAAAATAATACTGTACTTCAAAGCTATGTGTTTCTCCTGAAGAGTCATAGAATCATAGAATAGTTTGGGTTGGAAGGGACTCTAAAGGTCATCTAGTCCAACCCCCCTGCCGTGGGCAGGGACATCTTCAACTAGGTCAGGTTGCTCAGAGCCCCGTCCAGCCTGACCTTGAATGTTTTCAGGGATGGGGCATCCACCACCTCTCTGGGCAACCTGTGCCAGTGTTTCACCACCCTCAGCGTAAAAAATTTCTTCAAGTCCTTCAAGGATGTAACAGAAAGCCACGTAGAGGTACTAGTATATTGTCCTCCTGCTTTCTGAGTGATAGTTAACACTGACAGATGTGGAGCTAGCGTGCGGTTGCCTCGTGTGTGCTCCACTCCTGCTCCTCTTCTGACCAAAGAGCGGAAGAGAGGACGTTTGGATTCTCCTCAGTGAAGTGCTGCTAGTGAGCTTCCAAACTCTACTCTCTAGGAATGCCTCTGTTCAGGGGCAGCAATGATGTTTACCTGGGTAGGTTTGAAACCAATGAATGCCATTGTTTTCCTACTAAACTTGGTTTTTTGTGGAGCTTTGTGTTCACATTTTCATCCCTGTCTGTTTACCCCTAAGCAGCTGCCCTGGACTGACCACACCAAGTGCCTCTGGTGTCCCTGTCAATCAGGAGAATTCGTAGGAGATTTTGGCTGTAGTCTGCAAGCAAGCTGCAGTGCTTATTTTTGGTTTTGTGTTTCCTGTTGTGTAGCAGAGCATGGGAATAATAAGCTTAGGCTTAGAGCAGCAAACTGGAAGCTATTGTAAATGACTGCTTCTTGAATGCAGGAATAAAGAGAGAGACCCATTTAAAAACCAAACCAAACCAAACAAAACAAAACCCAGATCTGAACTGTGCTTACCGGTTACTGAGAGAATGCAAGTGTCTTAAACTCAAACCAGTTCAATATTATAACTGACTAAAACGCGCGATGGCACTAATTTTGAGGGTGAATCTATACGACACTTAAAATAACATCCACATAAACCATCCCTAGCCTGCAACCCTCATCCCTGGCTGAGGGTTAGCAATCCTCTTAACTGTGGTGAAGCTACGAGTTTTAGCTATTCATATTGTGAATGTCCGTGAGGAAGACACTGACCTTGCACTTTTTGAGGCCTTAACAGGTCAGTTGTTTTTTTTTTTTCTTTAATTGCAAATAGCGTTAAAACTTTCTTTAGTCCTTATACTTTTCTTGGAAGAAGAGTGATTCTCCTGCTTGATAATTACTAAAACTCCAAATAAAATTAGACTTCCCACTTGTTGCTAACTGAGGTTATGCTTTATTCAATAAGTTCATAACACATTACAGGACTGGAAAAAGCTGGTTTTTAAAAATAAGTTTATCACTCCTACTGCATTGTGTTTCACTTCTGACTGTCAAGAGGCATGCTGGCAGGAATTAAAACTCAAATTTGCTTTCCAAATAAGAAGGCTTTGTATAAAAAGTCCTGGATCCATTGAGGGGATGTGGAGTAGGGAAACTAATACATACCTTGCATTTAGAAGTAATTTGTTTTAACCATCTTCTCTCTGTAGTTAGTTCTCGTAAGATTTTAGAAATCAAGATTATTAGGTCAGGTTGCTCAGAGCCCCATCCAGCCTGACCTTGAATGTTTTCAGGGATGGGGCATCCACCACCTCTCTGGGCAACCTGTGCCAGTGTTTCACCACCCTCAGCGTAAAAAATTTCTTCAAGTCCTTCAAGGATGTAACAGAAAGCCACGTAGAGGTACTAGTATATTGTCCTCCTGCTTTCTGAGTGATAGTTAACACTGACAGATGTGGAGCTAGCGTGCGGTTGCCTCGTGTGTGCTCCACTCCTGCTCCTCTTCTGACCAAAGAGCGGAAGAGAGGACGTTTGGATTCTCCTCAGTGAAGTGCTGCTAGTGAGCTTCCAAACTCTACTCTCTAGGAATGCCTCTGTTCAGGGGCAGCAATGATGTTTACCTGGGTAGGTTTGAAACCAATGAATGCCATTGTTTTCCTACTAAACTTGTTTTTTTGTGGAGCTTTGTGTTCACATTTTCATCCCTGTCTGTTTACCCCTAAGCAGCTGCCCTGGACTGACCACACCAAGTGCCTCTGGTGTCCCTGTCAATCAGGAGAATTCGTAGGAGATTTTGGCTGTAGTCTGCAAGCAAGCTGCAGTGCTTATTTTTGGTTTTGTGTTTCCTGTTGTGTAGCAGAGCATGGGAATAATAAGCTTAGGCTTAGAGCAGCAAACTGGAAGCTATTGTAAATGACTGCTTCTTGAATGCAGGAATAAAGAGAGAGACCCATTTAAAAACCAAACCAAACCAAACAAAACAAAACCCAGATCTGAACTGTGCTTACCGGTTACTGAGAGAATGCAAGTGTCTTAAACTCAAACCAGTTCAATATTATAACTGACTAAAACGCGCGATGGCACTAATTTTGAGGGTGAATCTATACGACACTTAAAATAACATCCACATAAACCATCCCTAGCCTGCAACCCTCATCCCTGGCTGAGGGTTAGCAATCCTCTTAACTGTGGTGAAGCTACGAGTTTTAGCTATTCATATTGTGAATGTCCGTGAGGAAGACACTGACCTTGCACTTTTTGAGGCCTTAACAGGTCAGTTGTTTTTTTTTTTTCTTTAATTGCAAATAGCGTTAAAACTTTCTTTAGTCCTTATACTTTTCTTGGAAGAAGAGTGATTCTCCTGCTTGATAATTACTAAAACTCCAAATAAAATTAGACTTCCCACTTGTTGCTAACTGAGGTTATGCTTTATTCAATAAGTTCATAACACATTACAGGACTGGAAAAAGCTGGTTTTTAAAAATAAGTTTATCACTCCTACTGCATTGTGTTTCACTTCTGACTGTCAAGAGGCATGCTGGCAGGAATTAAAACTCAAATTTGCTTTCCAAATAAGAAGGCTTTGTATAAAAAGTCCTGGATCCATTGAGGGGATGTGGAGTAGGGAAACTAATACATACCTTGCATTTAGAAGTAATTTGTTTTAACCATCTTCTCTCTGTAGTTAGTTCTCGTAAGATTTTAGAAATCAAGATTATTTTTTCCTGTCTGACCTCACTTAATTGAAGGAAAGAAAATAGTAATTAAAAACTTTCCTGTCTGAGCAAGCTAATCCTGTGAATAAAAAGGCTTTACTTCTGTGCACCAGCGGAAAAAGTTGCTGCTAGCAAAAAACCCAACCAAACAAGACAAAGAAAACCAACTAGTTTAGCATTTCAGCACTCAGGTAGATTAGTGATTTTAATTATTTAAAAATTTTTGGTTGTATTGTTTAGGTTTTATTTAACAGATTACCTTCTAATTAACTGTCTTAGTACTCCTTTTGTGCAAGAGGGGGGTTTTAGGAAAATGTAGACCACATAGGGTCCTGTTCTCCAGGAGTGGAGATCAAGACCAGCCTAAGTCACTGCAAGGAAGTATTGGGTTGGGCACCAGAAAAAACTTTATCCCAAGTGGGAGTAAATGCAGATTATTAAAGTAGTGGCACTGGGTTTTCAGCAAACCTGTTTCTCAAAGTACCCATAACGAGGAAAAAGGTGGTGTTGACCAATTCAGCTCCTGTTCCAGGAAGGAATGACCTCGGCGAGTCTTTAAGCGCCTGATACTAAGCAGGAAGATTGAAAGACAGGAAGAAATATGGCCTTGGTTTGTTGGAGCATCTCTCTTTAAACTTGCAATCTTTTTACAGAAGCAATGGAATATCACAATTTTTTTTGTGAAAAATTATCCAATAAGGGTTGACTTGCGCGGGTCTTTCATTTTATTCTGTTGATTTTTTGTAGTATACTATCTTCTGATATCCTTAGGTATGTAAGGAGAGCTAATCTAACGATGACTGAGAAATATTTCCGAGAAACCTGACTCAAATATATCTTTGTATTAGTCAAATCAGTCTGGTGTCTAGTTGGAAACACAAGTAAATCTGCTTTGGCGCTCACCATCCTCTCCATGTCTGTCTCAACTCTTTCTGTGTAAGAAAAACCCATGGAATAACTACCCCAAACTTCCCCTGCTCCTACCACCAACCTTCACTTTCGGAGAGGGTTTATTGCTTGCTTCCCATCTCTCCCCACTCTTGAGATAAAAGAGTAACTCCCCGTTTAACAGCCTTGCTCCATGCTGTATCAGATGCTTTGAGGGCTCCTGCCTTCGTAGATCCAAGGAGGACTTGGCCTTGTAAACTAAACTATTGATGAACTCCCCGGCACCTCGAAAAGCCCTCTTTCATTTCTGCTCCTCCGAGGTTGTGGGGGAGCTTGGTCAGACTCCACCCGATTTGCAGGAGCAGCCTATTTGAACTTCTCCCTGCTGCAGGCGGGTGGCGAGGGAGGGAGGGAGGGAGGGAAGGAAGGGGCCGCTCCCAGGCAACTGGCCGCCCGCTCCCATTGTGTTGCCGCGCCTCGCACGGCAGGCGCCGGCGCC